TAACATTATTACACTAGAATGACACAAGATTAAAAAGGAACAAAGAATAAGGAAAAAAGCTCTTGGAAACTAAATATATGATAAGGAAAATGAAAATGTAATAGAAATACAGCACAGAAAAAGACGGTAATGGTTGAAATACAGAAAATCAAAACACCAGACAAGAAGATCCATTATCAAATAAGAGGAACCTGAGAAAGAAAACAGAAATACATAAGCAACAACCTCACTTAAGAAAAAGTACCAGAGACTAATGGAATAGCTCTGTGGAAGAACACTTCCCTAGTATTGCACAAGACTGTGTACTTAATCACTACAAGTAAAAAATAAAGTTATATGATTTCAATGTGGCTAGTGAAGCCTAAGTGCATTTTCTAAAAAGTTGCCGAATTAAAAATGTTTTCAAGCTGAAAAGGCACACACCAAGTAAGTACTCAGTGCCATAAATGAAAACAGACCCACAAAAAGGCCCACCATTGTAAAATTTCAGAACATACAAAGAGGGAAAAACAACACACAGAGATCACATACAACATATGGAAATTCACATATTGTACGAAAATGGCTGCAGACTGCTCAAAAGCGGTATGGATGCTAGAAAGCAATATGAAAAATTAAAAGAGAACACATTTTCTCACCTGTTACTCTTTACCTAGCCAGAGACTCGAAGCGTAAAAGTCAACTCAAGCCATTTTAAAATGCCAAATAAATCAAGAAAAAAGACAACAATGGTCTCTGGAAACTGGAGATTCAATACCTAAGAAAGTGAAAGGAATCCCAGGAAAATGGTTGTGTACCAAGAGGCAAAGGCAATCAGTCCAAAATGCAAGTCAAAGGTATATGACAAAGACTTCTGGAAGACAAAATTGGAAACAATACTTGATGCTAGTATTGGATAGCCAATGAAATGCAGACTTAGTGATTAATATAAAGAAAACTACAGAGGGAAGAGGGAGGAGGGCAATGACCTTCAAACACATCACTCCACATGAGACTTGCTAATCAGCTCCTTAGTCCTCTTAAACATTTAAGTACAAACACACAATCGTGAATTACCAGACATCTGAGGAAGGACTTTATCAAAAAGTGTAGGGCCCAAAAATAAAAAAACGAGGAGCTATGAAGGAAGAAAGGCAACTGGAAAAACAAACCATACTGATAAATAAAAACTTGAAAGAAGAGAATCCACCAACATTTCTATATAGTAGATAGCTAAGGATAGGGTGGCAGGCAGCCACAGGAGATTGTACTGCATGGAGAAAAAGATAATGATCTTTTATAAGAATATGGAATAAGTAAGAGTAAACTGTTAACGAGGATGACCAGACAGGTAAACTTTATTTTCTAAATAAGAAGTTAATGAAGCAAAAACAAAACAAGAAATTACTTAAACACTTAGGGCATAATGTTTTTTTTGGGGGGGAGGGGAGGAGTCAAACTCAGAACTTATCACTTACCATGCAAGCACTGTGCTGCTGAGCTATATCCCTGGCCCTCAGGGCATAATGAATTAAACAACGTTCTACGGGTATTCCAAATTAATTCTATCAAATTTATGGCGCATACTATTATTCCCAGCTTTTAAAACGAGAAAACTGAGGCACAGAAGGAAGAAATAGCCCAAAGTTAATAAAACTAGCAAATGACAGGAAAGATCAAACCTAAGGAATTTAATCCAGTCTGTGCTAATCATCAAGCTATGTTGTAGATCTCAGAGCAACTCAAGCATGTTAAAGTGGAAGAAGTGTAACAATAATCATTTGAAAGCAGTGAAAGCACTTCCAGGAAAGAAAGCCTAGGAAAGAGGGCAGCATATTTATGTATTTATGTAGGATAACCATGTAAACTACTAATTTTTTTAAATTGTAGGTACATTTCAAATAAAAACTTTTAAGTTATAATTTGCTATTTTATACTTAACTGATCCTACCAGTCTTAAGAAGCAGGCAAAAGGAGTATTGCTATTTTACAGGTTAAAAAAAAAATCCATTGCTCTTTGGTGAATATTTGAGGACCTTCCATAAAACAGGCATTGTATTTAGAAGATAGTCACCAATTTGTTTCAAGGAACAATAAAGAGATTAGGAAATTCATTTTATTGATTCATTTTTAATCTACTGCATAAATTATAAAATCATGTAATCTCTAACAGCTCTGTTAAGACGAAAAATAACAAAGTTTAAACCACAACAGAAAAGGTAGAGAAATGTCTGCTCATTAATTTCTTTAAGAAATATTTAGTCCCTACCCTTGAAGAATTCCTAATCTTGTGGGAAAGACTGGTAAACATAATTACAATCAAATACAATGTGCTTTAAGCAGTGCTAAGGCAGCAGAAAATTAAAGGGCTTGTATTTCCTGAAGAAAGAAAATCCTTTGGAGGGAACGTCTACATTGAGTCTTGAAGGCTGAATATAAGTTTGATAATTTCATATCAAAATCCTCCCCTTGTTCTAAAGTTCATATTAAAGATTAAAACAAGACCTTTTAGTAAAAATGATTTTTTGAAAGCAAGTTACACAACCTTAATCCTTTGAGCCAGGTTTCTTACCTTTACTAACTACCACAGCCAACAGAAAGCTTTCCATGTCTGATAAAACAGAAAATCTAGGGGCTGGGGAGATAGCTCAGTGGAATTAGTGCTTGACTGGCAAGTGCAAGGTCCTGAGTTCAATCCCGGTTACCACCCCCCCCCAAAAAAAAGTGAAGGAAAATCTAAAGTGCTAAAACATCACAAAAGATGATTAAATAATCGCCCTCATTCACCAAAAATTTATAGTTGACATACATCCTGTGTCTTACCACTGTAATGATAAATGTACCCCTTCTCTAGCAAGAGACTAATGTGACCAAGTCTAGAAGCTAGCAAGTGACACAGAAGCTAAAAAGGAAGTAAAATAACTGAATGTATAAATGAATGTATCACTTTTTCCTCTGGTCTTCTCTCAAGAGAAACATTTCTTTTTCCAAAACATATACACCTTAGAGATCATTTCTGACCTCCCAGGTACTTTAGGGGTGAAACATTTTGATGTCAAACAATTTGAAGAATACTGCTCAAAACAAAAATTTTCTAATTTTGATTATTCAATTTGATGTCAACTAACAAAGGTGCATTCTGAAAACAGGCTACTTTAGATCAAAATATTTTAGACCAATTTCTTGTCCCTTTCTAGAATTTCAAACCTTTTCATATATTTTGGCCCTAATTATTCTTTCACTCAACTACTACCTAGAAAATAATATCTTTAATGAGGAAAAATTATTTTCCTTCAGTTGAAACTCTAGTTGTAAGTATAATTTTCTGACAGAACTGTGTGAAACAGCTAGTTTTGGAATGCCCTACCATATCTACATCAATAGAAGAAAAAAAAAGGGGGATCGCACACCAGGAAACTACAAATGGTAATTAACAAAATCAGCAAGGTTTTCTTTCAATATGTGGGCTCAATTTGTTTGTCCTTGTCTTTCATTTCTCTAAATTCAGTACTTATAAACTAGTTTTTATACAAATTTCACTCAGTTCACACCCTTTTGATTTAGAAAAAAATAGGCTAATTCTTTAAAATTACAGGCATCAGAACGATAAAGTTAAAAGGCAAACAATAATTATAATGGAATTATTAAGGAAGCTACCTTTTAGAAGTCTACCTTTAAAGAACAGTTTTGTAGAAAAATATAGAATAGACTACATCTGCTTATTATCAATATTTTAATTATATTCCCATTAGAAAAATAATGAACTTAGAAGACAAATGTTTCAATTAACAATGCCCTTCCTTTTACCTTAAAAAAATTGGCCTTTGTTTTTTTTCTAAAATTGTTTTCCAGTGAACTCATTTTTTCCAAAGCAAAATCCACAAATAAATGTATAGAATATAAATGTTTCAGCTAGTTTAATCAAATTTCAATCCCAAAAATCTTAAACTAATACTAAAATAATTGAGTATCTTCCATACTCATTCAAAATCTCAGTAAAATGAAGTCTTTTTAATAACGTCTATATTTTTATCAAGGCTAGTCATAGACTGGCAGATTTGTTCCTTTTAAAAAAATCAATCAACTAAGTCCTAAAGCTACATAGGAAACAAACTAAGACTTCACAACTTTTCTAGCCAGTCATCTTCAAAGATGCAAACTGAGTCAATAAATGTGATTCATACATCACTTGCAATCTGAAAAAAATGCTGCTGTAATAATGTATTTCAGGCTATAGGAGGGTTGGGGGAGTGAACAGGTGGAGTAGATTAGCAGACAATCTTATTTTCATGCCTGTATAAATTCAACAGTCCAAGGCTTTCTTTACTCTAAAATGGCTACCACCTTCACGTACGATGCAAAAGAAAAAACATACAGCATTGTACTATCAAAGACAAATCTAGTTACCCTGACCATGTATGACCAACTACCCCCAAAAAAGTTTAAAGAGTCCCATTCCTTTTCTGTTAAGATAAAGTAACATACATTAAGTCTACAAAAGCTGGTGAACTACATTATAGTCAACTTATACAGCCCAGATTAGGTCATTTTTCTTTCTGTGTTTGAGTAGGAAAAGAAGGTAACATCTTTCACAGCCTAAAATGAAATACACTATAACTGAAAAATAATTATCTATACAGAAGAACAAATGTAGGAACTGCAGCCCTCCAAGAGATGGTCACAATGATTTTAGTAACTGTATAGAAAACAGATTAACTATTTTGAGGGTTGGCAAAATTTAATTCTTTTCATATCTAATCTTTCAAAAAGCATTTTATAAACAAAAACCACTTGGTGCCTCTAAACCTAGTTTTAGTATTAATATATATTAACTGACTTGACAATTATTTATGTATTAAATAATTCCTACTCACTCTGAAATTCCTTAACTCTCCTCTGTAAAACTTACCATGAATATAGTTACAAAATAAATATGTAACTCTAGACTAGTTATAAATGTATATATTGCTAATAAATAAACTTCAACTCTGAACGTCTGCATAAATAGGCCATGATCTTACCTCTCATCCTCGCCATCCACCAAGGGTGTTGTCAGCGGTAGCACCTTCAACGGGAAAAGAGAAGCAGAGGCTGCTAGGCTGCTGCTACTCCCATCTGAAACTGCTGACATTCCCCCACTGTCACCACTGATAGTCTGAGGTAAGCCAACTAAGGAGGGCTCCACTGGGCGCCTGGCATCTTCAATTTGGCTTCCAATTGCCTGAGCTAATGATTGTGCAGAGAACTGAGTAGAACTTAGTGGTAACTGTTGTGCCAATGGCAAATTTATATTAGTCGCTATCAAGGGAGGTTGACTAACACTTTGAACCAAATTACCATTTTGAGTGGCAGGGGGTTGTGCTATATTCTGTGGTGGAACCAAGTTTGTTGGGGCAGAAGGCATTCCAGAAGGACCAGTTGAACTAACCTGGTTTGTAACAGGAATACTACTAGCAGAGGGTAAAGGACTAACTGCGGGCAATTGCTGCGAAACAACTTGAACTACTGGTTCTACTCCTTGTGGCTGGGGAGGCACAGTTAACAAGGTACTCTGGGGTGCAGTAACCAATTGTGGAGGAAGGCTTGAAGTGCTAGTTTGAACTCCCTGATGAATAAGCCCAGTTTGAGCAGGTGGAACTACTTGTGAAGATGGAGGAGCACCTTGCTGAATAACTGAAGGTGTAGCTTGGGTAGAGGGCTGCTGCACTGCAGTAGGTATGTTTCCTTGTTGACCAACAGTTGCAACTTGACCACTAATAGGTACAGCAGACATCGCTGTTTGAGCCTGGCCAACAGGCTGGCCAGATAACCCTTGTGCTTGAACTGCTGTGGACTGCATTGGCAGCTGGATCCCCTGTGGCTGAGCTACAGGAATCACGGATGTTCCTGTTCCTGCAGAACTGGACTGCCCAGAGGATATTGCTGTTTGCAGAAGTGACTGCTGTTGTACATACTCTGAAGGAGGATTTTGAGTCACTGATTGACCATGGCCTGGGGCCATCTGTGTAGAAACCATTGGTTGCTGTTGTCCATACTGTAACTGCTGGGGTGCTGCCCCCGGAAGAGGAGTTTGCACTGGAGGAGCTGTCTGTGAATACGGCAGTTGGGGCTGAGCCAAACTGGAAATGGAAGGCTGCTGACCTAAAGCTGAAGTTACACCAACCACATTTATAGGTGATGGCTGGATATTAGTTGCAGCACTGACAGTGGCTTGCAGAGGTACTGGTTGAAGACTTTGTTTTTGCTGATAGCCTAGTTCTTGAGACTGTAAGTGTACTTGTGACATCTGTGACTGAGAAATACTCTGTGGCATATTAACTGCTGAAATACTCTGTGGACCACTGCTACTGAAATCCATCTGTTGAAGGGCCACACCTTGAAGAGCTGGAGGCGGCTGCTGCACCACAGTAGGGACTCCCATCTCTCCACTTCCCACACTCTCTGTGTAGTGACTCAGTGTGCTGACACTACTGCTCACTGAACTCCCACTAGTGCTCTCCCTCTCAGAAGTCAATTCTGTCAGGTTTTGTTTTACAGTCTCCACCACTTTATTTGTCACCACACCTTCTGTAGCAGAGAGAGCATTTTCTTTTTCATAGAACTCAGTGCAAGTCCATCTACCTTTTTTAAATGGTTCAGAAGTAGAATCTAATTTCACAACTCTGAACCTTGACGTGTTAACTGTTGGTTGTTGCTGCTGACTTGAAATCAATCCCACATTCGTCCCCACAGTTGCATTAGGGACACTGTTAACAGCAGAGGAAGAAACAGTACCATTGCCCATACCACTCAAGATATTCACAGTAACACTACTGGTAGCTCCAGGCCCAGCACTTACAGTAGCAGCGCTAGGAATATTGCTTGTACTTATATTAGCATTACCAAGCATGCTGCTTGTCACATTAGGACTGAAACTACTCAAAGAAGCAACATTAACATTATTCATTGTACTAGTGCCAGTACCAGAATTTATACCTACACTGCCTGTTGTACTTGGAGCCCGGATACTAGTCATTACAGATGCAGGTGAGCCACTCGATGATACAGCAGAAGTTGGTGTTACTGAAATAACACCCTCAGAGCTTCCAGACGTAGAGAGTTTTCTGGATACAGGGCTCGCAGGTGACCCTCCAGGAACAGATGCACTGGCCACAGCAACATGGGATGGATGGTGGTGCCCATGGTGAAGGTGGTGCCCATGATGCATATGATGGTGATGATGCAGGTGGTGTGGATGAGCATTGCCATTGATCACAACATTTTGCTGTGGAAGGTGAGGCAAATGAGGCTGAGGAAGGTGAGGCTGGTTAGGAGATACTGCTCCAGGTGTCTCTGCTTCCTGAAAGTTATTCAGAGTCTCTTCTGAGGAACTGCGCTCCGGCTCCCCTAAGTCAGTAGCCCTGGAAAGCGACACATCAAGGATCTCCGAAGAAGAGAGATCTTCTGTGTGAGATTCATCTAGATCATCATAGCTCTCAGTGTCCTCTGCTATACTGTTGTTCGAGCTGATACTGGCAGAGATCTGAGCCGGAGTAACGCTAGTTATCTGAAAGCCACTTTTCTTTTTCATCTGAGTTCCGCCTGGCGCAAGGGGCTGTGCCTGCAGCTGAGCCTGAGAAACGAGGTTCAGGCTTTGTGGAGGCGGAGGCTGTGGTCCCGACGCGGAAGATGCTGCAGGACTCGCCGGCTGGAGCAGCGATGGAGGCGGAAAATCATCAGAAGATGCAGCAGTACTACCAACACCGGTACCTGCTGCACTGAGCGCTGAGGCGCTGCCACTACCGCTGCCCCTCCGAGGGAACATAGTCGGGTGCGCCATCTTCCTAGCACTAAAGTCTGCAGCGGTGGCGGCCGCGGCGGTGGACTCAGGCGGCTGGTGCATTGTGTCGGGTACCGGGGGGCGGAGGAGGCGAGCGCAATTTCCTTCTACACCGTAATCTTTGTATTCGAGACGCTCGAGAGGAAAACGACCTGACGCTCCTCCCGGCGCGAGTCCTCCTCCTCAGCCTAAGGCACCGGCCGCTGCTGCTTTCGAGGGCGAGCTTCGGGAAGGGAGGATGAACGAGGGTGAACAAGGAGGCCGGAGACCAGAAGGGGGGACCCCTTCAGTCCTCCGCCATTCACTTTCTCCGCTAGTCTCACACCCCCCTTTATATTCCGCTTCACGTGGGGTGCGGGGCACAAGGAGTGGGAAGGGGAGGGTGCGGGGAGGGGAGGGGAGGGGAGGGCAGGGCAGAGCAGAGGAGGAAAAGCGAGAAATGCCCACCTTCTTTGGCCAACTCCGGAGCCACCTCAGCCCCCTCCTCCCGCCGCGGCGGCGGCCGCTGCAAAGCCCTCCCGGTCGCTCTGCAGCGAGGCGGCGCGGAACGAACGTCGCCTTGCTCTCGCCACCCCCGGCCGCGGCCGCCGGCGAGCCCGAGCTCAGTGTCGCTCAACCCTCCCCCGCCGGGCCCTCCCCCTGAGCCCCGCGGACCCTCTCAAACCCCCTGGGCTCGCGGCGGCTGCTCCGGGAGGAAACGCTGACCGCTGCTGGGGTCGGAGCGGCGCGGCTGCGAGCGGGGCGGCGGCGGCGGAGCGCCCGGTACGGAGAACCCAGCGACGAGGCACGGGCGGGCGCGCAGAGATGCCCGGTCCTCGCGGAGCACGGCCGGGGCGCGGCGGCGGCGGTGGCAGCGGGAGCCCAGGGACCGCTCCATCACTGGCAGCCATGGAGCCCGAGCATTTTCCTCCCTCGGGGCAAGCGCTGGGCTCGGCACGCGTCCTCGGGGAGGAAGGGCCGGCGCCTGAGCCTCCCCGGAGGGCGGCGGAACGTGCACGGGAGCTGGGGCTGCGAGCCTCTCCCGTCCTGTTCCTCGGCGGGCGGCTCTTCACCCCACGGCTCCGGCGGCGGCCCGGGCGGGAGGAGGCTGCTGGCGACGGCGGCGGCGGCGGCTCCTCTCACGGCGGCGCTGGTGGCCAGACGGGCTGGTGTGGCGACTGCAGGCGATGCCGTTCAAAGGATCGAGAGGTGGGGTTGGTCGGTGTCTGCACACGGGGCGGGGGAGTGGGTGGGTACGAGGGAGGGCTTCAGGCGGAGAGGGGGCTGTGGTGGTTGTTACTAGTGCTCTTCTCCGTCTACTCTGTAGCCCCCGGTCTCTCGCGGCATCGGGAGAGGAGGGACCAGAGCCCGGGTTCAGGAGGAGGAGGGGCGACCGCCAGCGAGAGGAGGTGGAGGAGGCGGTGGCGGTGGCGGCGGGGGCAGCGGCAGCGGCGGGGGTGGGGGCAGGCCGAAGAGAAGAGGGAAGATGGCGTCTGCGCATGCGCCCTGGCGCTGCAGACGTAGAGCCGGGTCTGGCGGGGAAAGAGGCGGCGGGTGTTCGGACCTTGCCGAGCGCTGAGGCTCTCAACGGAAATTGCCGAAGGCTAGCGGAGGCCCCGAAGCCTGGGGCAGTGGGGGTGGGGAATCTTGCCGAGGCAGCGAATCCCAGTCGAGCCCAGCCAGTCTGCCCGGTGGGGGTGGGGCAGGGTGCGGGGCTGCGGCCGCGGCCGCGCGCGCGGTTAGGTGTGTCCGCTCTTTTCTCACGCGCAGCCGGCGCGCGGGCTCGAGGCCGGGGGGGATGGGGCGTGAACAGAGGGTCCGCCGAGGCTGCGGGACGCCGGATTAGGGGGCTGTGCGCCCTGGGTGGTGCCCACCGCCAGCCGAATGGGTAACTAGGCTTTTCTCCGCAGCAACAGCATCACGAGTTTCAGTTCCCAGGAACCCGCCGCCACTGCCACATGAGTCAGGCGTTTTGTGCCGCTCGCGGCGCAGCCCTGCGCCCTGCGCCGCACCTGGGCTCGCCCGGGGCCGCGCCGATCTCGCCCCTTCCGGCCCAAAGCCTGTGCGGGGCGTGGAGGCCGGGGACCGCCCGCGGTCAGTGTCGCCTTTTGTGCACTGCTGTGTGGCTGCCATGCGGCCCCCTCGCTCTTGAGGAGGAGCGAGGACAGGGCTGTGGGGTGAGGACTGTAAACTCGGGTAGGCTGTGCTCTAAAAGGAAGTAACTCCAGCCCATCCTTACCTGGAGGGAGAAAGCCAGCCAGCCCGGGAGCCGGCTGACCTCAACAGGTAGAGCTCAGGGCCGGCTGCGGAGCCTGCGTTCCGAGCTGTGGCCCCCAGAGGTCTGACTGAAGAGGCCAGATGGCAGGGCCTAAGGACACTGTAAGTGAGGTGGTGAGTGACGAGTGCTTTTTAGGGCTAACAGTGCAAAAGGACCATCTGGAATTCCAGTTTGAAACAGTTTTGTTTTTTTTTTTTTTATGTTTTATGATTCTAAGCGTAATTCTACAGAAGCACTGTTATGTTTGATTGGAGGCAATTTATAGGAAGCAGCTTGCCTGACTTTACATGTCAAAACCTAGCTCTAAACATTCCCTTGCTACTCACAGCAAAAATATTTCCCAGCCAGGAATTTAAAAAATAAAATAAGTTTTTAAAAACTAGAGAAAATTTTAAAAAATAAATGAACTGGAGAAAATATTTAATTTGACATCTGAATTTCAGAAATTTGTCCTCCCCTCTCACCCTTCTCCCTCTTCTCTTTTTCTCACATAGACGTCACCAAAATATATATACCCCTCAATATATGAGCAATACTGACTGCTTATAGGTAGAACTCTGATGCAAGAAATATTTAAACCTATTTTGGAGGTTGTTACGTTGTAGAGTTTTAATAGACTTCTAGTTCACATGTTAACTTTCAATTTTCTCTGAGCTTTCCCCCTCATTTCATCCTTCAAAAAGGTGAAAAAGTCACTGTTCAATTACTATAAAACAGAAATAGTCTCTTGACATCCTTGTCTAGCATGTTTCAAAACTGATGCGTATTGCTTTATTTGTAGTATCCTCCCCCAGCTAAAAAGACTTTTTTTTTTCTCTTTGAAGTGCTAGTGTGGGACCCTGCTAAGTATATAACATATACACTCACAAATAAAATGATATTGAAAGTAAAAAACTCAAGATGCGAAATGAGTACCTGTTTTATTACAGTATTTTTAATATGAGAATGGCTGTGTCTTTAGATAAGTATGGCCATTTGTATGTTTTACAAAAAGTCATGTTTTAATTCTCCAGTAGCTTTTGTTGCAAGTGGTATACTTGATTAATGACTACTATCCATTGTTGAAATACAAATCCAACTTGCTTTTTCAACAGTTTCCTAACTGATGGAAACTGCAATGGAATGTAGACTGGCAGAATGCCTGCTCTTTGAACTACCCTGTGAAAGAAAATGCTCTTGATCTCTCAAAATGTTACCTTAAATTGAAGTTTTAAATTATCCCAAACAACTGTTTTCCAGTCCTTGAGCTCTGAAAATTGTAAATTGCTGGTATGGTTGAAGAAACAAATTATTGAGATCTTTCCCAAAATTGACACAATGAAATAACCCAACTTGTTCCCATAACAGATAGCAAAGAGTATTGTTGGTTTGGGTTCTTTTAATGGTAGAGCTCCCTGAGAAGTTAATCCTTTTATAAAAGAAAATTTTTTTAAAAAACGGATAAAAATATTTTTAAATGATCTTAGCAAGTATATTTAATTCTGGCCTCTCATGTCATTTTCAAACTACTGTTTAGGTTCCATCAAATCCTGCTAAGCTGTAAAGAACAACCCTCACTAGGCATGATGGTGCATGCCTGTAATCCCAGCACTCTGGGAGGCTGAGGCAAGATGATCACGAGTTCCAGCCCACACCAAACTATTGAGTTTCTGTCTCAAAATAGAAAAAGGCCTGGGAATGTGAAGCGCAGAAGCTCTAGGATCAATCCCTAGTATACCATCCCCTCAACAAACATGTCCTACAATTAGTGAAATCTGAATTTCAGAAGTTTATCGCCCCCATCTCCCTTTCCCTTTGTCAGCAAAATATCCGTGACCCTTAACAATGAACACAGATGCAGTCATCCATCACTATTTGTGACCAATTGGTTCCTGTAATCCCATCAGATATAAGAAATCTGAGGATGGTCAAGTCCCTTATGTAAAATGGTATATCACTTACCTGAATGCGTGTATCGTTTAGGGACTAATGACAGCAAAAGTCTGTACACATTCAATACCAACTTGTTTTATCCCAAAAATTTTGATTCTCAGTTGAATCTAGAGAAGGGGAACACAAATATGATGTACAATACTACAGACTGAAGCAATGAGAATCATCTGAACACCATGTTTTATTGTTATTATTTGTGTGTGTATTTAGTATAGGGTCTCACTACACAGATCAGCCTTGTAGTGATCCTCTTGTTTTCAGCCTCACAAGTGCTATGATTACAGACTCATGCTGCTACACCCAATCTCAGTCACTGCCTCAGGGCACCCTGGGAGTGGGGCTGGCATGGCACACCGAGGATTGAACCCTAGTCCCTACATCTGCCTAAACAGGCGCTTTAACCCACTAAGCTATCTGGCCGGCCCAATTCTGTTATTACCTTTTAGGAAAACCTGTATTTTTTTTTATATATTAAATACCTCCTACTACATATGTGAAGTCATTAACTGCATTAAACCAAGTACTGAATACTTGTGTTTTCAAGGCAGGAGTTGAGCCAGGGTCTTGCTTACATAATTCAAATTGGCCTTGGACCCACTGTATAGCCCAGCTTGGGCTTGAACTCGTGGGAGTCCTCCTGCCTCAGCCTTGTCCCTTGCTTGTTGACTGCATCAATTTCAGCTATTTTCTTTCCAAAGGGTACTGCTCAGTTAACTTTTCTGTTAACTCAGACTTGCAGTTAATAGTCTGAAGTTAACTCAGACATCATTTAAATCATCCAGTTATTGCAAACCAGTCTGCATATTTATCTGTGTTTAATGTTTATTCTACAATAAAATATAAAATTTACTGTTACAACAAAATGTGCCTATTTGTTTTAAGAACTCTAGAATGGCTCAGTATTTAAAACCAAGGAATTCTGTAGTAGTGGTACCCTTGAAAAACAGGAAAGAAGCCAAGCATGGTAGCACACACCTGTATTCCCAGCACTTGGAAGGCTGAGTCCGGAGGATCCATGGGAGTCTGAGATCAGCCCAAACTACAGAGTAAAAGCCTGTGTTTAAAAAATAAAACAAAACACCAGGAAAGAAATAACTCCTTAGTGACAGAGAGAGACATTTAAAAGTATGCAGAAGATATACCAGCATTTCATTTCAGCAATTACTACATATTTGTGGCTTTTGAATGTCACCTAGAGGGAAAACAAAGTCGGATGCCTAAATGTAAGTTATAAAATGAAAACAATCAGGTTTTTTTACATCTGAAGAAATATTTCCAGGAGAATATATAAGCATGTTATTAATCAATTTGCTCTCAAAGAAAGTTGTGAATTTTCAGATGTGTGCTATTTGACTATTGTAAATTTCACTGAATATATTAATACTTTCATTCAAATTCTAGTTAATACAGTTTTAACTTATAACTGGTTAATTTTTGCAGCATATGATAAGTTACATATTTCTGCTCAGCTAGACAATGTTTTATCCTCAAAGGTGATAATGTTTATAAAACAAAGTACAGAAATTTGAATTTATAGTCCACAAGGCACACTGATACACATCCTTTGACAAAGGGGGCATTATGCTCATTTTAGGAGTAAATAATCACAGGGAGGTTAAATGATGCTTGAGGTTCATGCTTACCTGCATCTGCATATTTGAGCTTTCTGATTTCAAATTCTATGTCTCTATGTTCTGAGATTTTCCTGAAATTTTCTAAACTCTAAGGACAGGTATTTTCCCAAAATTTAGTTAAATTAATAACTGTCCTTTTATTGTTTTTGAATACCAGTGAAGACTATACTGTACACACATTAAACAGCATTTCTTCCATAAAAATAAGACTTTTTCCATGTTTAAACCAAGTCAGTCTTTTCTAACTAATGAAAATGTTCATTTAGAGAATTTTCTTAAAACTTAAAGCATTTCTAGGCCAGGGATATAGCTCAGCGGCATAAGTGCCTGCCTGTCAAGTGCTGTGTCCTGAGTTCCATCCTCAGTACCACAAAAAAGAAAAACCTTAAAGCATGTCAAATAATTTGTTAATTTAGACTTTTTAAAGGCTATCATCAAATGGCCCTTTAAGTATGTCCAGTAAAATAGTGTTCGTTTATCACCTGCTAGATACCACACATCTTTTATCTCAGTCTTCACAGTTGTATAAAGTAGGACTGTAATTGTATCATTTTACAAATGAGAAAAGGGAGGTACAGAGAGGTTTTGGTCTTAAAAGTTGCCTAATCATGAGCTAAAGTGAAAATCCTAGTTGTCTATTCCTTTACAGCCACTTCCAAGCTCTCAGGTTCATTTCTACAGAAGACCCATTTTAATTGACCTCATTGGTTGACAGGCATACAGCCCCGAGTGCGCATGATCTCCTCTCATTTACCTAACAAGGTATCTCCAGAGTCCTTGAACACTTTTCTCCTGATGAAAGAGCATTGAAAGGAGACTGCAGAGCCTGGTATGGGGGCGCACACCTGTAATCCCAGTACTTGGGGCTGAGGTGGGAGGATCACTGCAAATTCGTGATCAGCCTGGTCTACAAAGTGTGTTCAAAGCCTACCTGAACTACATAGCAAAACCTTGTCTGAAAAAGACAAAATAGGAGAATGTACATTTTAGAGACTATTGTGTTCACATAAGAATTGGACATAAATGAACAGAAAATAATTTGATTAGGCTGGATGACCCTTTATTGATCAAAATATGCCAAAAGCTTGAAATAAAAGCATTAATTATACATAAGTGAGAAATGTTAACAGTATAAGACTAGATATATGTTTTCCTCTGTGAGCAGTTCACCCTTACTGAACGTGAAAGCCTGTGGAATAAAGAGAATAATAACCTAGTTTCCAACATGGCTCAGGACCCATTTTTTTTTTTTTTTTTTTTTTTTTTTTTGTGCATCTTTTTTCAACAACACTTTAAGTTATAGCAGCAATAAACACATCTGTTTGCATTATGATTTTAATAAGACCTCTGTCCACTGTGACTAAGCACTGGATCAAGTAGTACAAGCCTAAACAACCACTGCACCCTTGTAGTAAACGAGTAGATTTACAGGCACATAGGGGCATCTTATGTCTCAAAGCTCAAGGAAAAAGGAATGCCTGTTGAGGTCATTCCACTGGAATTTTCCTTTGGTCATTTAATGCCTCTTGTTTAAATTTATCTCTCAGGACAAGAAAACCAACTAATTTCATTATGGAAGAGAAAATCAGTTTCTAAGACCAAGATCTTTTCTGATTTTAATACCTATGAAAAAGATTTTTAAATATATGCAAGCTAAATTGGAATTGGAAGTTCCTAATAAAATTCTGTTAGCATGATCACAGAAATTTAAAGGTATAATGGCATGTTGGCCACACGTAATCCCAGTATTTAGGAGACTGAGCCAGGAGGATTGCTGTGAGTTGGAGGCCAACCTGGATTACAGAGCGAGACCCTGTCTCAAAAACACAAAACCAAACAATGAAACTTTAAAAGTGAGAATACATTTTGCAGATGAACAGTATTTTTAAAATGTCTCTATCAGAATGATAGTTTAGAATGATTAAAGTGTAAATGCTGCAATTTCACAGAAAATTGTAAAATGAGATTGGGGGAACTCATCAAAATTAATTTGTTTTATTGTATGCTATATGCGTCAAATTCAAGAAAATTAAATACATGATTGACTCAGCCTTTTACCTGAATTAAATACAAAGTTAATTGCAAAGATTCCACCAAAGCTTTCTATCAAAATCTGGAAGAGAAAATCCACATGTGTGATTTTGATTTTAATTTTTATTAGTACATGTTCACAGTACATGATGATTACATTTATTGTGGGAAGATGGTACCTCCTCATGACACGTCTTAATTTTCTTTACTTTTTCTTCCCCTCCTCAACTCCCCAACCCCTTGAGTGCTTTCTTGCCCTAGTAATTTACAGTTGGGGGTAGAGACTACATAGTAGCTCCAAATAAATGGTGTAACCTTCATGTCTTGGAAGAATTTCCTTTTTTTTTTTTTTTTAATGTATTTAATACAGGGTCTACAGAGTCTCACTACACAGATTGGACTCATAATGATCCTCCTGTTTTCAGCCACCCAAGCCCTGCGATTAAAGGTGTGCACTACCATGCCCAGTGTCATTCCCTGTCTCAGTGCGCCCCAGGGGCAGGGACAGCATGGCAGGCCGGGGATGGAAGAATTTCTTGACTCAAGTCATAACTAACATACAAATGTAGTTATTAAATTACAACTATTTGTTAAGTTACAACTGTCAGTGTATATTTTCAATAAAATGAGAGAAATACTGTTACACAACGTGTTGATTCCAAATTATTTGATCAATAAAAATGAGTTTTGAAAGAAGTACTTCCATTGAAAACAGCAAAATTTTGTTTTGTCCAGTGTACGACAGAACCTTAGGAAGTACTTATAAAGGATTTCTCAAATCCTATGTTATGCAGTAACATCAACAAAATTTATCATATGAACCACTGGAATTTTTAATGTTTCTGAAAAGCATTACAACTGAAAATCACAGCATTGGAAAACAAGGTCACTGTTAATGCTTTGGTCAAAGGCAACTGATGGAAATAAAATTTACTTACTTGTTCTTTATTTGATATGTGGAAAATTCTCCTTGCCCAATTTATGCTTGTAACAGTTTGCTGACTACACTTTTGGGGGACATCATCTCAAGGCCTTTTCTCTTCTTTCTTTCTTTCTTTTTTTTTTTTTTTTGGTGGAACCAGGGATCGAACTCAGGGCCTTGCTCTTGCCAGGCAAGTGCTTATTCCACTGAGCCATCTCCCCAGCCCCCTTCTCTTTCTTTTAATTTAATTAATTAATTTATTTATTTATTTGGCTGGCTCAGCCCACCCTGAGGGTGGGGCTGGTGCAACATGTGGTACCTAGAATGGAACCATGGCCCCCTGCGCCTAAGATTGCCTAAGCAGGCCCTTTAGACTGCAGAGCTATCTCGCCAGCCTCTCTTTCTTTTAGTTTTAGTATGAAGCAAAATTTAGTGAAAATAACAAGGTAGGAGGTGAACTTGTATCTTTTCTGATAGCTTTGCACTTGTCGACCTACAGGCAGTACAGTAGATTTTATGTTCACAGTAGAACTGGAGTCCTTAGCTTTCGTGGATTCTGGAAATGTGTTCTTTATATGGTGACCTAAGGATATGGAGAACTTAGATGTTTTCCAGGCAAGACAAGTTCCAGAACTATTTTCTGTACTTACCTGGCAGGGGTGATACCATGATCACAAAGGTGGTTTTCCCAGGGTGAGGCTCGTCTGTTGCACTCCGGATGTGGTGACCCTAAGATTTCCCCAAATGTGGGAATCTTGACTGCATAATTTATGTAGTGCTAAGAAGAATATATGCAGTGTATTATTTGTTGAAACTGTACTTTCGATTTGATTTGAAACTGTCTCATTGCTATATGTTTATCAATAAAACTTTGAAAAGAAAAAAAAAATAATTTATGTAGTGGGGGACTGCATTCACACTTTGCCCTAAGGGGGAAAAAAAAAAACTTCTAAGAAACTTAGTTGATGATTCTGGGCATAACTTGTCACAGAGCTCATACAAAGCCTATAATGAATAATTGCAGATATGATCCATATCAAAAATTTGTCTTAGTATATCTAAAATATCTGCTAGCTGTTTATCATTCCAAACTTTAATTTTGGAGTGTTAATATGAAGCAGAAATGAAATTTCTGTTACTATTTTGCATTTCTCCCCACATGAAACATTTTTTTCTCTTGCTATGACTGTTAGCACAATAAGAACCACTTTATGTTATACAGCTAAGATTAGAAGAAACTACCTTGCTGATTATAATGAGTATTTTTTCAAAATTATGTAGTTGGTATTTAGTATAGTATATAAGTGTCCTATAAATGCTTTCTTATGATAATGTTTCAGTAGCTGAAATATATTTCACTACTAATTGAATGAAAGTAGGACTTATTTATGCTGCCAATAGGAAGAAGAGGAAGATTTTGGCCCCAGAGTCTCTCAGCTCTGTGGAATCTTAAGAGGAGGCAAATCATTACTTCCTCCCAGGTCTGCATTACTACAGTGTCCAAAGAGAATATTAGCCTTTGGCACTGTTTTCAGTGATTCCCATAAGATGTTAATGTGGCATTCATCTTATTACTAGTTGTAAAAAGACTTAGGCCTTGATTTATTTACAAGTGGTTTTGATTTATAAGTCAAGTCTTTTGAATGCTAAATAGATTTTATAAGAGACAATAGTCCCCACCCTTCCTTCACTTTTCCTTCCCATTTGCTGCCTCACCTTACTCCTTTTTCTGCTCTCAATTCCCTTACTATAACTGAGTAATTGAAATTACAACTGTCTTACCTTTATACAAACCCCCAAATAGTAACTTTTTCTTCTTTGTGATATTTGTGCCACAGTAGTCAACTAGTTTGCTAATTTGTTCATTCTAAGTATATGAAGAGTTACATTTCATTAACAGTACTGCTATAAAAATATATGGGATATAAAAGATATATATTTATTTATTGCAATAAGAGACATCCCACTGAACTACATTCCCATTTCCTACATTCACAGCTACATCCCCTCCTCTTTTTTTTTTTTTTTTTTGAGACAGGATCTTCCTGGGCTCCAACTTGTGATCCTCCTTCCTCACCCTCCCAGGATACCAGAGTGCTACTGTGTAGGTCACTGTGTACGTCTAATTTTTATTTAAAAAAAACATTTCATAAATACATATTAACAATGGCTGGTCTCATCTGAATCATCGTTCAGGTATTTTTTTCTTTACTAAGTTAAAATCAGTTTTTCCTTGCAAAGTAAATAGAACTAGCCAAAAGTACATAACTGGAAGGCTGGCCAGATAGCTCAGCGGGTTAAAGTACCTGCTTAGTCAGAGGCAGGGACTTGGGTTTGATCTCCTGCATGCCATGCCAGCCCTGCCCCTGGGGCGTGCTGAGACTGCTATTGCAACTGGGCATGGTAGCACACACCTGTAATCCCAGTGCTTGGGAGGCTGAGAACAGGAGGATCATTATGAGTCCAATCTGTGTAGTGAGACCCTGTAGGCCCTGTACTAAATACCCCTCCCAAAAAAGGACATAACTGATAGGCTATTACATTGATAAAAACCAGAAGATGGGAGATGTAGGATTTTGTACTCTGTAGAAAAACTCTGAATAGTAAAGATAAGATTGACTCAACTTTGTGTCATTAATCAGATATCTACTAGTCGTACATTAGGAAACACTTCCTTGTGCAGGCTTTTTTTTTCTTTCATTTCATGTATGAACAGAGCATGAAAGGAGAGTCTGATCCTTCCCAAATGTATATTTACATAAACTTATTGTAAATGGGACAAGTGGAAAGCAGTGGGAGAACAATTTGGTTCACATTTCATGAAAGGCATTTTTCCTCCACGTTGAAGATAATCAGACTAAAAATTAATTCTGATGATTCTTAATCCATCAATTGCATGTAGGCATGATACAGATCTTTGGAAATTAAGTAGGAATAGTTTTAATGTGAAATTATGGCAACACTATGGTTTAGGAACCACGATGGCAAGGCACACATTCACTGGGGAATGAGTCCATGTTAGTGCCTGATACAATCTAAAAGCGCAGTTATGGCTTCATAAACAATTCTGACTAAGTATGAGTTCTGTTAGCTGTCTAAGTTTGCTGAGCAGATCTGAGAGGTGGTATATTCCTAGCACTCAGAGGCTGAGGCATGAGTTCAAGGCCAGCCTGAGCAACAGTTCAAGGCCAGCCTGAACTGCGGGTTAAGACACTGCCTCAAAACAATTCATCAAAACAAATAAATGTTATCTTGAGCTTTTACAGTTTATTTGTTGATGACAGATGTGGAGAAGTAGAAAACTCCACCAAAAAGATTATGTTTGTGGTGTTACTAAATTTAACACTATTACTAATCATGGGAGAATTGATAAAACTTTATAGAAAGTAGGTAAAATAAAGACATATTAAAGGATTACTTGATACCTGTTTATCATAATAGCAAACAACATACAGATAATGAAACGATGTCCTTCATATATTTAGAATTTAGCAATTTTGTTCCATGTGTAAGTCACGTCACTGATTAGGTTGTGCAAATTAGCCTCCATCTTGCGATCCTTCTGCTTCAGTTTCCCAGAGAGATAGGATTGCAGGCATGTACTGCCACACCCACATCATTCATTATATAGTGATAGAATGTTCTATAAGGGAAAAATAGTTTATATTTAAAAATAACCTGTTAAATCATGGGCTCCAGAAGCACTAAAGTTTTGTAAACATAAGCTTAAACTCCATTCTCAAAAAACAAAGACAATTTAAAAAATTTAAACTCACTTGTCCTGTTCAAGAAAGACCCTTTCTCACTGACTTGGCCATGACAGGCCTCAGTCTGGAAGAGGACACACATTCAGTTCCATTTGGAGCTGCTTTCAGGTATGACCACCCCCTCATCTGTATGTGAGTTTCCTGTGGGCAGCTTACATTCTCATGCCACTGTAGTTTTAGTGAGGTCTCTCTATACACAGGCCTTTACCAAGGACTCCCTTTTAATACAGAACAGAAATGGCAGCCTGTACCTGCGTACCTTGTGAAAGTGATTCTAAAATGATTGCTCCTGTATGTTTCTGTAGAATATAGTACGCTTATGCAACCAACATACATCTGGAATAATTGGGCCACGAATAAACAGATACCAGAGGCAAGGCAGTGGGTTAGTTGCAGAACAACTATTTGATTCAGGAAACTGAGGTAAGGTCCAGACCCATTCAGAGGCTGCATTTAAAATAAAAGCTGAGCACAGTAGCACAGGGAGTAATGCCCATACTCTGGGAGGCTGAGGCAGGAGCATTGCAAATTGGATCCCAGCCTGGGCAACTGAGCAACTTAATGGAACCCCAAGAGGGCTAGGAATGTAGGTTAGTGTGAAGGCTCTGCGTTCAGACCCAAAGCACTGCTCTTCCCCAAAATCCACTAAGCACAGTCAGGTGTCTACAGTTGATTGGAAAGTAGCCAGGCCAGGTCTCTAAGAGCCAGCCCACCATGGCCAACTGTCTTTGAATTTTAAAGGCCAAGCCTTTGTCTCTCATGTATCCTCTAATGTTTATTACTTTGGGGCACAGACACATCTTCAAACAAAATGAAAGCCTCTGCATGCAGCGCCTGGACTTCTGAATATCTCACATAACTGTGGTCTTCCACTGAGGCCTAAGCCAATTTCCTAAAGACCATGACCCTGATTCCTGGTTGTTGGTTTGAATGTGATATGGTCAACTCTACAAGATGGTAAAACATAATGTAAAAACCGTGCATCTAAATTCTTACCTGAAATTATCCCATAATTTTTCATAAATTGTCTAATCTGCATTATTTCCAAAAGCAGATTTTGGTTTTATTGATTATCTATATTTTTATTTTTCTTACTTAACTTTCTCTGTTAATTCTACAATTTTTTTTTCTGCTTGGCTTTTTCACTAGCTTTTTTTTTTTTTTTTTATGTATTTGGTATAGAGTCTCACTATGCAACTTGGACTCATAGTGATCCTCCTGTTTTCAGCCTCCCCAGTGCTGGATTACAGCCGTGCACCACCATGCCCAGTCTCCATGACTGCTCTGTGTGCCTGGGGCAGGGCCAGTGAAGCATGTGGTGCTGGAGATCAAACCCTGGTCCCTGTGCTTGCCTAAGCAGGCACTTAGTCCGCTGAGTGCTCTCGCTGGTCCTCTCTTATCTTTAAGTAAATTTATTTCTACTTAGGAATTTCATTGTAATTACCAGTGATTACTATTATCTTTATAATTACTCATTAGTTTTGATATGTTATACATATAAAAATAATTTTTAGTTTCCATTGTGATTTCTTCTTCTTTTTTCTTTTTTTGAGACAGGTTCTTGCTGTGTAGTGCAGGCTGGTTTTGAACTCACTATGAAACCCAGGCTGGCCTTGAACAGCCTCCTGAGTGCTGGGGTCACAGGCATGCTCCACCATTCCCAGCTTCCAGATCTCCTCTTGAAACCACAAGTTACATAGAAATATTTTTTGTTTGCTACATATATATTTGGTTTTATAGACAAGACACTAAGGTACACAAAAATTGTACATTTTACTCAAAATTATATATCAATTTCATGATATAAAAATAAACTTTCCTAGCTCAGTAGCACATAGTACCTGCCTGGTGATTATGAGGTCCTGAGTTCTATTTTCAGTACCAAAAAATAAATAAAATAAAATTTCTTAGTTATTGTTCCACTCTAACTTTCTGGGTTTTTAGTTTATGTTCTTTCCCTAATCAGAAGCTCATTTAAATTTAAATCAACATTATTTTTAACTTGTGTTACAATTTAGAATTGTACACTTTTACTAGCTGTA